TAATGACATTGACTGTATATATTTTGTTCGTTTGCTTAGCTACTTCATTCGTTACTCGAAAATTTCTCGCTTTCTGATTGGTCAACGCMTGTCAACGGGCGCGCATACGCAGTGCACTATTCAATTTTTTRGTTACGAATCAATTAGAAATGTTCAAAATGCTCATGTTTTTTTATATTAATTTAATTTGCTATATTTAGTTTTTACGTMGTGTTAATTTCGGAGTCTCAGAGCTAACGTATATTCTGTATATGCAGCAAGGTGTTCGGTAATATGTTTTTTCAATCATGAAGAAAAATATTTTTAATTTTAATTTTTTGCAAAATTTCAGCATGAAATTACTAGTTATGAATATTGAAACGAGAATTAATGGATAAAAGCTGCAATTTCGCCGTTAAAAAAATTCGTGATCCGCACGATCCACTTCACTGAAGTCCAGTCCATTCCAGCCATGCTCGGTTCCAAATTTTCCAAAATAAAAAATCGTTCAAAAATCCGAATCTAGAAGCATAAATCAAATTTTGGATGTTGGATATGTTTTTGCTATACATTAAGATTATCCATACCCTTTAAAAAGCTAAAAATTTGACAATTTTTTTTATCGTATTCAGGATCCAGTCAATAGACGTCCTCTCCAACTTTCATCAAATCACAAAAATCTCAAAAGTAAAATGTCAAGAATAATTGAAATACAAATAGTAAAGWGGTAAAAATTGCGAATTGTGAGCAGTTTTCCTGCCTGTAATTCTGTATGTTTCGGTATTTTTACAGACCAATTTCGCGATAATCAAACCTTCTACTGAAATGTCAATATATGAGTTTATAAATTTTCCAGTTCATATAGTTAATGCTTCATAACTGAGCTTCGACCTCCTAGCCTGTGAACTAGCGAGGAACGATCCAAAATAAAAACACTTTTCTCGTTTAATTTCAGGTAAYTTTTCCTTCTTCTGGATACGCAAAGATTTTACAGTCTACCGTATACTGAAAATGCTGTTCCGACTAAACTTCCTGGTTCTGGTCACGTGTCTGGTTACAGCCAATGAGTACATGCTCTACTACATCTGCGCAATGCACACCTTTTGGTTCTTGTCAGTATATGCTTTAATGAGACCGTTGTACAAAAAGAACACTGAACCGAAAGTCATGGCCATTAAGTTTGCATTGTATGCTGGGATAGTTTTTGCGATTTTTGAATTCCCTACTGTTGGGAAACTCGTTTTTAAACCMTTTCGTTTTATTCTAAACTATAAGAACTCTCTTCACGAGTGGATGTTTAGGGCAGGTCTAGATCATTATGYAACGCTACTAGGAATGATATGTGCTTACTTCCATCCAAATGTCGAGAATTTTTTTACTAATTTAGAGAGCGAAAAAAATATTGATCGAACCAAGGTTTTTACACTGGCTACGAAGATAACTCTTGCATGTGTCTCCGTGATAGCGTTCGTTTTATGGGTGAGTCATATATTCGTTCTTCAAAAGTATGACTACAACCATCTCCATCCATATTTTTCCTTCATACCCTTACTTACCTATATTTTGCTTCGTAATCTGTTCCCATTTTTAAGGGAACGCTTCATGTTTCTTTTCACTTGGCTTGGAAAGATAACCTTAGAAACGTATATCTCTCAGCTTCACATCTACATGCAAGGCAACGCTAAGTATTTGATAGTCTATATCCCTGGTTACCCACTGGTGAATTTCTCCATAGCAACAGCTGTTTATTTATTTATGTCGTATCACTTATTCCACGTGACTGTTAACCTAAGCGCATATTTAATAACGAAGGATTTCAAGGTGATGGGTAGAAAGGCCTTCATTGGTTTTCTTTGGATGGGAGSTTGTTATATCTTAGGGTTGTTTTTTTGTAATCACAAGACGTTTGCCAGCTTTGTGTGAGAATACTTCTCTTTCTCATCGAATGCATACCGCTGGCTTTGATGAACGCAGACTCATTTTCAAATTTAACTATTTATTGGGCTAACTGGTTTTGATTTGTGGTATATTATTTCAGTTGACTTTTGCACATTTTTTATTGTAAAACAAGTCTACACCTGTACGACATCATGTACGAATGAGTCTGCARTCAAGTATCACAGCGGTAATTCAGAATTGAACAAGTAATAAGGCCTGAACGAGTAAAGTAAAGTAATGAACGAGTAAAGAGTAAATCGTACAATTTGCGGTTAACGTCAATCAATGGGATTTTTATACTCATAGTGTTGTTGGAAAAAACAAAAGGGACACGTGCCTATGGTAGTTATACATTAAAAAGTCTTGATTGACGTCCACTAAAAGATATCTATTTTAATTTGTCGCGAAGTTCCGCGCGTGTAACTCGAAGGAATGCAAAGCTTTAATTTAGGAATCCGTTTGTCGTTATTGATAATGGTTCCGATTTAAAACTCGATATCGTTGGTGTGGTAGGGTGTTGTTTTGAGATGGGTTTATCTGAATTGGACGGGTTGATTTTATATATTTTTTAAATAGGTGTTAGTTGCYGTTAAGTCAATGGAGCGCTCTTTTGGACAGCAGCAGTACGGAAAGTGAAACTGCAAATGCTAAATCACTATTATGCATATAATTTATAAGGCATTATGATGTACGTAGGAAAGAGAGATGCAATGAAAAGTAAAACACAGGGGGGCTAAACTGTCAGGAAACAAGTATCATTGTAACATTGGGAGCGTCTAGTATCTATTACCTCAACTAGGAGTATCCGTTAACCTGAACTAGGAGTATCTCTTACCTGATTTAGGARTATCCCACTGACCTTGTTTAGGAGTATCCCTGATTGGCTCATAGCCTTTGATTGACGGCGAAAATAGCACTTTTTTGGTATCGACGTCTGTCTTTTAAAATGCAACGGTTCTCTSACAGAAAAGCTCAATAATTTCCACCTCTTTTAAAGCCTTTATAACGCAAATTGTTTCCTGACGAGTTGGTACGAGGAAAAGGGAAATTACAGCTATATATCTTGYACTTTCTGCTACAGGTGAGTAAAAAATGTCGTACAAAATTGATTTTCTTTCAAGCTACGCTTCGATTGACAAAAGCATTAGAGAATCAGTAATCCTTTAGGCTTTATTAACGATTTGTAATACAAAATAGAATGATAATTTCCCCCCCAGAAAATCAGTATACAATATCATACAACCATAATAATCTATTTAGAAAAAAAAAGCTTAAGAGTAGATGTCAGCAAAAATCAAACAAAATCGAAATTTTCTGGCAACAGTCAAAAAATTGATTTCGCTTATATTCAAGTATAAGGTAGACATATAGCCAAAACAAATCGTGGTATRCTTCGTTTTTAGAAATATGGCTTTATTTCCGAGAAAAACGAGGAAAACCAATTTGTGCATAATTGACCCTCTGAGAGAGCCAAAATATCATCCAACTTCGAGTGCCTCGCGTGCCTTGACAAAAATATGTATGGACTTGAGTRTTGAAAAACTTTTTTTAACATTGTCTTGGCTTTAAATCTGTGAAATTTTATTATTTTCCAATAAATNCTTAAGCTTACTTCGATTTTGTAAACTCGAAAATTTACTCCAGCAAGTCACATGGCGGGAAAATCTCCAATACATTAGGATGTAGAGAAGTATATAAAGAAGAAAAATACCCGTAAACAGTTAAAGCAATAAAATTCTTTTAAACTTGATCTAAACTTTTTATGTTGACAGTGGAATGTTGATGAAAACAAATTAAGTTTTCAAAAACGCCGGGCGTCCATTTTCTTGAACTTTTCAAACACCGTCGCCAGTGAAACGACTGCTAGGTAGTGAGAATTTCAAACAAATCAGGATCGTTTTCCTTGCTTTTAGTTCCTTTTACTTTTGAACTATTGAAAAATTTGAGAGTTATGCTACAAAACTTGTTGCGATTTTGATACGGCAGTACCACAAAATATTGACGGCGTTGGGCTATTGATTTATTATTTTAATCTACCAGTGAATKTTTTCTTCGAAAATAAAATTGCTATCGGGGTCTTCCACTGTATTCATGGCCATAGAGACGCCACAGTTTGCGTTCTAATCTCATCTCATGTTCAATTGTTGAACGCGTTCAATTATGAACAAGCACCATACGACTTCAATTTTATTTGGTTAAACAYCTACTTYACAAAGTGATGATATATTTTTRWRWTTAAAKTATCGRCTTAACTTCAGAMATACATGTCTATYATCGAGATAAAATGTCTCCAAAACTCTTCTCAAACTTGCTGTTTGTCGCTTCGTCCATGAAAACTGTAGCAGKTAGAAAACCATCCTTATCAGCCTTGATTCCTTGTACAATTTGTAAATGATATATCCAACTGGAAGGATAAGAATAACAGGGCTTGGWTTGTGATTGAATGGTATGCTTYGATGGGAATATTATATCCCGGGCGTAGAGTGCATCTCAGGGCCCCCTCACAGCCCAAATTACATACATTTACTGTATTTTAATGCGTCATTCTCCGCCCGGGATGTAGTATTTCCCCGTTTGTATCTTGGCTTCACTTTGAAACCCATTTGGAAGCCATTTTTTACGATTCCTACCACTTATAATATGAAAAAATTATGTACAGTAGATGCAGTATGACTGCGAAAAACTCAAAGCACAAACTAAACTAGTCCTGGAGTCCTTTTCGATCCAATACAACAAGCTAAAAAAATTCATCTACACGCCCGGACCTTTTCAGCCAAAAAATAAATTTAAAACAGAGTTTGTATCAGATTTTAGCATTCTTGGTCTGGTTTTGCAGAAGTAGAACACTCTTTYTTTCAATCTGTATATGGTTGGCGCAAAGCTTTGGCCGCCAAAASTCCAAATGTAGCACCCAGTCCCTTGGGGGAGGGTAAGGTGTGCTTGTGATGGCTTCGGCGGATCGATATTTTTGATGCTCGTAAAACCACTTCTTTTTAACGTCAAAAACAAAACCAAATACACYATTAATACGCATTTGACTTGCTCGTTTAGAATTTGCCCCTTTTTGCCTAAAAATCCAAAGTGGTGGAAAATCCGAATCTGGATTTACTACCTGGATCGGACTTTTACCAAGGGGAGTGTGGGATCGAGACAAAAATTTGCCTTTGTATTTCAACGTAAAATCATAGTGAAAAGTCTAACCTCACTAGAAAAATTACTTTGACGCAGTTATTTTTYGAAGTTAATTCAAAATATGGCTTTTATGAGAAAGAAACGATGAAGTGTAATCAGTGAGAGGATGTAAATTTRTTCCACTTATTTTGTCATTTGTTTWCTTCTTTATCAAGCAAGAAATYAAAAAGGACTTTGAAAACTCCTCACTTGTGGCCTTATACTTCTAACGGTATAACGTGTGGATCAATGTCACGATACAGTTAAAACAGAGATCGTATAGGATTTTAACAGAGAGATATAAAAATTGTTATTTATGCAATACTTAGAGATTTTTTTAGTTGATGTATTTATTTATATTTTAGTTTTGTCTTTTTTTGATAATATTCTTACATTGTATTTTATCTGATATTTATTTTGCG